AAAAAAAAAAAAAAACAGATAGTTGCTGTCCGATTAGTGGAAGATAAATTTATCGGTCTGATAAAAATGTTATCATTGGTCATGTTGATTTTCAATTTGTATCGCGTGCGAACTGGAGTTCGATATCTTAATCTGTTCACATAACTTTCTATGATTTGTTGCTTTACCAAATATGTGTCCACTTTCCTGCTATTCTTTGAGGAATACTCTAACTACAAGTTTTTTACTTTTTGTTTCTTAATCATAGACTTGCGTGACTATTAACCCAACATTAAATTACACATTTGTACATTCTTTGACAGAGCTGGGGAAAGGGTGGTAAAGTACCGCGGGTATATCTATGAATGCTACGAATGCAGTAGAGAAGACAAAAACAAACATCATCTGCGGTTGTTTCAGTGGCGTCATAGAAACAACACAAGCATTTTGGGAACTTAATTAACACTAGATGGAATAGAAATGACAAATAATATATAAAATGTCACCAAAAAAGGGAAAAGTCAGATAATAAAAAAACATCGAAATTCTTATCATTCCAAAGATTTCACATAGATTTTGTTTGCATTAACAATAATATCGTAATTATTGCTATATATTTATATTGCGAACTGATTAATCTGACCAGCAAGGCGGCAACGGTGGGGCCCGGGGGCTCTTGAAATAGCCCGATGGAGAACAGAAAATAAACTAGGTACTAACATATGCAGGGTTTGATTAGGAAATTTGGACACGATGCAAACTAGACCGTCTCTTATGCCATAATTCTACTTTTTATTCACATGTAGCCTCCCAGTACTTGTCTCAAACGCAAGTTAAATCTTTGTAATCTATTGATCATGTTATAAGATTAAACTTTTCATTTTTCTACACTAAAATAAATCTGTGAACGAAAGCTCTGTAATGTGAAGCTTTAAGTGTAGAAAAATGAAGTTTTATCTTATGGCATGTTAAATCTGTTGTGAGTATTGAAATTCTCCATGCAAAGTGAAAAAAAAAAAAAAAAAAAAACAAAAACAAACAAACAAAAAAAAAAAAAAAAAACGGCATGCACATACTCCTCTTTGAAGAAAAGCTAATCAACAAATGGTGGTTTATAATCATTGACTGGGTATTTGCTTTAAAACTCAACGGGATGATGGTCAGTAAATAGTGAAAACTTACTATAAAGGGGATACATTCATCATTTCTAATCGCGTTAAAATCCTTTCAAGTGCTTATCGATCACCAAGTCTAACTTTTCTCATAACTGCCCGTGGTGCTGCCTGCCAGGATGCGTGCAGAGTTGCAGAAAATAATTAAGGGAAAAGATTCGATTTTATTGTCACATTACCCTTGAGGTCATTTCCGGTGGTTTCTCAGAATCTGCTTGGTGTTTGCCCGCAGGAGACACTCGCTAGATGCGCAAGTTGACACATTAAGATCTGACGTTAAATATGCTGAAGCCTTGTTTCACTCTAGCAAATTCAAATAGTGCAAGAAGAGCGTCTTGATTAGGTTGGTCGCCGATAAAAATCCTCTTTAATTCAAATTCAACAGTCATTGCTTCTATACAGATTTAGACGTTTACCCATTGCACTGTTGGTGGTATTTCGGTGAAAATTTTGCAAATTTAAACAAGGGTGACTACCTTTGCCTGTGCAATTCGATATTTCCCGAATAGGTATGACACCCACAGTAGGCTACGTGACACCGTATTGGTGTTCACAACACGGCACAGGCTGCTGTTTAAAATGCCAAATTTAGGGACATGTTTAAGGTACAGGTAAAACTATACAGAAGTATTTTAAGTTACGTTTTACAAACACAAATAACCCTACTGGAATTCGCAGCATATCGAGACAGTCCATGATTGATTTTTTTGTCCGTGTATTTGTAGCTTTATTAGTGTCCTTGCATCTAAAACGGTACATGTGTAAATTATTTATCCTATATTTTCCGAAGATTTGGATTAACAGTGAGCTGAATGAGTTAGAAAAAAAAAACAGTGCATTTCTTGTGTACGTAACTGTAGAGTTATATTTCTCACTCCGATGAACATTTGGGTTGATGCTTAGGGTCTATAGTGTGGTATTACACTCACAAACACTGTTGCCGTCTTTTTGTGGCGTTTTATAAAAACCCGACTAAAATGTAACTACCATCTCATCTAATCTCTCTCTCTCTCTCGAACTGTTTTTTTTTCATTAGAGACTCAACTGTCATGTCTACAATTAGTTTCCTTTTACCACAAAAAGATTTTACATTAACACTGATCTCAGAAGTGTTAAACGAAACTCAGACTTACATATCACAAATAATATCAGGTATCATCGGATTATTTGCTCGCCCTAGAATGTCCTTTACAAGATTTATTCACACTCAACTCACCATGTCCCCCCGAAGCGCTTCAACCCCATACGTCCGCCATCGCCCTCTCGTTTGCCGTTGGAGTCAGGCAGAATTTTGTGAGAATTGTATTGAATAGCAGGAACATATTGTTGCCAAGGCCTAGGATGTCGACTGGGACGGTAATATTATTCCTCTTAATAAGATCGTGCCATACTAACACACCGATTCAAGCCAAATAATGAAGTGTGAAATCAATGTTTAGTTAGGTTACCCATTCTGCCTTGTCGTTCATTACTCCCAATGCTGAGAATGTTGCCCAGTTGAGTGTGCCAGAAACGTGAATATCTTTAACATTATTATATATGTTCATAAGCTGTGCTCTGTTGAATTTGTTAAGGCCCCCAACCAGTATTTTGATATTGTCACCAGGGAACGGTGATCCGTAAACTCGAAGTGAAAAGAAACATTGTGCGGAGCCCTATAAAAGGTTTTTGAAATTCATTGGCGCTGGTTGTTGTGGTTATGTTATCTTTGTATAGGGGGCACTGCTTGTACGTAGTTGTTATTGTTTTCAGCGCTGTTTTCGCATTTGGCTAACGTTATATTGTTAAGTAGAGACACACAATTGTAAATCGGCTTTGTCCACATTCATTTTGGATAAATAAACAGTATGACATCAGAAGCATAAACAGATAAATAATTTTGAATGACGGGGTTAGCTTTGACATGATCCTTTTTTCATACATGTAAATCGATCATCGACAAAACACTCCATTTTCCATTTGCATTATCATTACATTTTTTTCTAATCTAATTGTAGTTAACAAAAATATTGTTAAGTCGTGTCTTAAGGATATGGAAGACAAAATGAAAAAAAATCACGTTTTCTCCCCTAGACAAGATTGCGACTTTATCTAAATTCATGAGTGATCTCTGAAAAGGAATGGATTTTAAAGTAAAACATTTATCGAGTGTCACGATATGCAAATAACTTATGACAACATTCGGTAGAGACTAAGAGAATGATTTGAAACATATTGTAGCTCAAACATGAATCGTTTATAGGTTCAAAATGATAATACATGGTGCCTCTAGTAACACGCATTTTCCGTAAGAATTTTACAACTTTCACGGATTCTAAGAACCAATTCTGACAATTAAAGAAAATATATACATTCGACGGTAACAGGTAACCATTAAGAGGCGAAAATATTGTACATGTGTATTCTGATACTTAACTACTGGGTTGGAAAGCAAAATAAAAAAAAAATTACCAAATGAAAAAAAAAAAAATAACACACATATCCTGTTCAGAGACATTGAGTTAGAATAAATCTTATGAGAGAGAGAGAGAGAGAGAGAGAGAGAGATTAACATTGCAGAACGATAAAGTAAAATCAAATTATTCACTGTACAGGTTAGCATCTTTTATCAATGCTGAGTTTTCGTAAATTAAAACCAGATATAAAATACCTACTGTAAAAGGGTTGCGACCTGCTGTGCACCCGTTTCATGAACAGCATTGCTGCGCCACACAAAACATAAATATTGACAGAACAAATGACGTCTATCTCTGAAATCATAAACGAGTTCTCGGACATGCCAATTTATTATTGAGTAAGCAGTGTGCTTATTACAAGTAAGGGAAAACCAATATTTGCCAGGTTGTTTGGAAAGGTGTCTGAGGACGACAGATTTTAATATACGTGCAGTGTAAGCAAGAATCCATGCAGAAATCATTTAGTCTATGTGTTGGATGTTTCTCTCTCTCTCTCTCTCTCTCTCTCTCTCTCTCTCTCTCTGGCAAGCTGCCTTTTGAAATATTAGTCTGGTAACAGTTTTTAAAAGATTATCATTTACGCATATTGGCTAAGTCTGACTGACATCACAGACTAATAATTCTAGGTCCTTGGCGTCTCACATTCCGTCTATTTAATTTTCTGCGCACTGCTATTAAGGATATGCCAGAAAACATAACAGTAAATGCACCTTCGGGACTAGGTGTTAATATTTTTTATATAAAATAACGACCTAATGCATATCTTCTTCCCCATAACAATGCGCTAAAGAGTTCTCTTGGTGTAAGTCTATACTTATAGTAGAAATAGTGTACAGTCAACTTACATACATATATTATCGAGATAGTGCTAAGGGGCTTAATTATTATTATTTGAATTAGTTTCAGTTTTTTCTAATACTTTATATTATTTGGTTACCAATACGATGTAATTATGCCATGGAATAACAATGGTTGCATATGACTTGGTAGTGTCGCATTACGCTTTGGACGACGAATAAAAAACTTCAAAAATAAAATAACAGTGATTTATTTTTATTTGAAAAAAATCTATGATTTGTACTACAAAATACAAATAAACTACTATAATATTTAAAAACAAAACGAAGTAAATTAATAACATACAGTGGCTGATTGCCACGTCAACTGACATTACTTAATGGATACTTAATGGATTTTTGTGTTGGTAGTTTTGGTAAAAACAATATCTACAGTATAACCCTGGAGTCCGTTTTGCACTCAACATTTTGCAATAATGGATAAATCTGCCGAAAACAAAGTCATTTTAGCAAAAAAATTGTTTCATCTCTGGAGTACATGAGCTATCTTATAAAAAGGAAGAGTAAACATGCTAAATATTTAAAATCGTTTTAACTTTACCATCACATCAATGTTTTCAGCTGTAACACGTACAGTATAAAGAATTAGGTGGTGATAATGCTAACGATAGTTAATTAGCCCCTCACAGCTCCAGTAGGTGTGCCAGACATCAGAGCCGCTTAAGCTGAATGCAATTTTGCGAGAAGCCCCTCGGAGATGGGTCGAACCTGGTAGATCGATCTTATCAATGCACGGAGACCAATCCTTTAGCGACCAGCATCAGTGGTGTCAAAAGCAGTAATGCGATAGTTGAGAAAAGTGAGGAATGTGTTGAGAAGGGTGTATGTTTTTAGAGCTTTGCCTTTCATCGAGTTCACAACTATCACCAAACCAACATGAATTATTAACACTGCCTGAATGATTAAAAATAAACCACACGTAAACACATTCTTGGAGAATGGACATTATATCTCTTTTGCAATTATCTTTCTGTTATATGAAACCAAAACGTGTGTCATAAGAATTCTTGTAATTTAAGATGCTAATTTTAAACACCGAATTTTGTTTTCCTTTAATGCTGTTTTCTTGCTTAAATCAATCCAGTCAGCAAATATCTCTGGTTTGGGAGAACTTATTGATTTGGATGATAGTGATTTGGATGAAAGTAATTATTCCACGAAGCACGTGGGGGTATCAGTTTAGTGAGTATCATTTGGGTAAGAATCAGTCTAAGATGATTGCCTCTGAGAGTTTCGGTTTAGTTGGATTCAGGGAATAGAACTTCACTGGGGAACATTTTAGTAACAGAAAGCTTCATATTTTGTTGAATCTCGGTTCAAAAACCAATATTTTTGCTGTGTTTTTTTATGATGACTGTGAGAATAACAGAAAATGTTTTTAACCGACCACGGCATTTTTCTTTATTTTGGCACTCTCTTTACTCTTGATAGAATGTGTAATTTTACGTTTTATGTTGAAACATAATTAAAATTCCATTTTTTGTATACGAGGTACAGTAAGTAAAAGGGCAGTAGTTATGTATTGGGATACCTGGTACTTGTACTAATACAACAGTGATTAAGTATACTTCGTCTCAACTGTTCATACCTGTAGGGCCTACATTGTTCTTTTAAAGTGGGTTTAGTTTTTTTATGTTAAAATATAAAGGACTTTGTACAATGGCAGGAGGTATAACCTTTTTAAAGAAACCCAACTTACACTGGACACAGTTGGTTTCTCCTGCTTGTAGATTATCATAACGATCCGCATTCCCAGGGTCTCATTGTCTCCATGCAATAAGATGTCACCGCAGGCCCGTAGCCAGGGGGGGTTCGGGGGGTTCGAAAGAACCGCCCCTTTTGAAATTACTGGCTACGGGCCTGATGTGGGTGGGTGGGTGAGGTGGATGGGGGTGGTTCTTTCGAGCCCACGAGTGAGCCCACGGACTCGAGGTAGACGCTCCTCATATCTTCCGTAATCTTTTTACACGTCACACTCTCGCGGGGTTCCACCCATCGTCTCATCTTCAGGCCCCTGAATAAAGACAGCAAAGTCCCGTTTGTTGTTAAAAACATGAGAATAACAAAAATTTTGACTCGGCAAGCACTGCGATGTGACTTATCCAGGGTTGTTAGAAACAAGGAGTTATAACTCCTTGATAGAAAGAACTACAGAGTTTAACAGAGATTTCCGAAATTGTCTCATTAAATATTCATTTCACCTAGTAGCATTGTGGACTGTTGGTGGGATAGTGAATAGGAATGTCACTGGTAAATGAATAGAAAGGCGTAGTGTTCGGTTGCGTGCCGGTTAAAAAGATAACATCAGCTCGTATACGTGACAATGGCTAGAGATATTTACAGGTGGTTGCTTCAGAATTCAAAGTGGTTACGCTGAGGACAATAAAACAATTTTCACCTTCAATCCTCGATTCATAATTGGGGGTGAAGTGAAGTCATTCTGATGACGCAGAGCACAATGTACCTACGGTATCAACGGCTTGGTAACCGACAATAGTAATTATATTATTATGGTCATGCTGGTTGTCCTCAGTTAGCATCCTGAGGCTGTAAAATACAATACCGAATGAATGGAAAATTTAATCACTGTTTGAAGCGTAAATGTATCAGGCACATGCAGCCATTTCTACGCTTTCGATGAGGGTCTGTGATTTAAAAGAGGATTAATTTATTTCCTGAAAAATCTTAGAAATGTTCAGTGCATGCGTGATACTCGTAACTACCGAACATCTCCGTCACTAAAGTGTTTCTTTCGTCGATATTCTAGACTCACTGGTAACTGCGGCGGTAAACAAGGTGTTTTTGCAACAACTGGTATACAATCTTTGAATTGTTGAGATAAGAGTTTATTTATTTAGCCAATTATAAAAATCGGAAATCATTTTCCTTTTGGAATAATATACAGAGTAAAATAATAGAATAATACAATATATAGATAAATTAAGAATTTGGTTTTGAGATCAAATTAAAATGCGTCACATTGGGGATCGTATTTAGCGTTACGGTCGTTAAAGCCTACCAGTAGATTGCACTGGCCACAGGAGCCATGCGAAGAGGTGTGCGGGTGCTTGAGGAAAAACCGGGTTCCGGTTGAACATCGGTTTTTCGGTTACCCTTTCAGTCTAAATGCAGTTGCCGCAGGCCTTCC